AATATATGTGTTGTCATTAAAATTCTATCAAAATTTTTTTTTTATTGGTCTAAACATTGTGTCCGGACTGTATGCAACAAAAGATAATTAAACCTAATTTCTAGACTTTAAGCTTTCTTTAATTTTTCGTTTGGTATAGTCCAGTGTTTTTCAAAAAGAGAGACAGAGGGAGAGATACAATGACTCCATAATCTCTCCATCTATATGCCCAAATGGAAAGGCGAAATGAAAATAGTAGGCACTCATTAGGCAAATCGAATGAACAATCCTATAATCAAGATTTAGTTGAATGAGATATTTTCTCAGTTAAGAGGAAATCTACACTGTGTCCCCAATAAAGGATTATTGGTCGTGAACTAAGGATCCTAATCTATTCTCATTAAAGAAAAAAAGTAGTCAAATATAGAAAAAATAGGGCAATTATAGCTGTCTGGGTTAATAATAGGCATGTCAATGGATTTATTCAGATCCAACCCAAACCCGATGTCTTGGGTAGGTTTGGATTTAATTTTTCAAATCCAAACTCTACCCAGACCCAGATCTTATAAAAGAGTTATGAGTCTGGACATGATCTAATTTTCTATAATCTATATCTAAATTTGAATCCATACCAGATCTTATCCAGATCCATGCATATATAATTAAATTATATATGCATATATATGTAAATAAATTTATAAAATATGCTAATATTCTATAGTTGTTTGATTGAATACAGTAAGATTTCATGATTATTTTCTTTTTTCAATCTAATTCTAGTTGTCATTGTAATTAATACAAATTTTTCAGAAAAAGGAGAAAATGTAAAGGTAAATAAATGAAAGATTTGACTTAGATACAGTTGAAGGTTTAAAAATAAATAGAAGCAATCGATAGTAGTAATTGTTCATAATATTGCATTTAACTTCTTGAATATTAATTTTATTATTTAAAAATAAAAATTGGATAGTGTTTATTTTTTTTTTTGAAATCTATGTATTTTTTAATATATTTTATTTTGGTGTATTTATAAAAATATAATGGATACCCAAATCCAAAAGGGTCTGGATTTGGACTGTTTTTTCTAACCCATAAAAGCCTGGGTCGAGGTTTAGGTTTAACTAAATTTAATGGGTCTGAATCTGGATTAAAGGGATCCAACCCAAACCCTACCCATTGGCATGTGACATGTCTAGTTAATAACTATAAAGAATGAGCACCAGCCAAAAGTTATTGAAAGAGAGAATTGCACCAATCATCCCTCACATATTTCTGATGTGAAAATTTAGTCTCTTAAAATAAAAATGAGTAATTTTAGTTCCTAGGAAACAAAAAATGATCACTTTTCGTCCATTTTCACTTTTCCGTGCAATTCTTGGTTGGAATAAGTTGCAAGCATATCAAGTAACCAATTTTTAAAAGGTAAAAATGACAACTCGCTTCACCAAAAATGTAAGGGACCATCATCCCTCAATCTCTTTCAATTCTTCCAAACCCTTCTTTGCTACACTAATTTAGCTGCTGATTATGCCTTTCCCCTATTCTTGTGGTTTAGATTTGCACCTAGTCAGTAGCAAAGGACGAATTTCTTGTCCCATTTCTTCGGTGTTAGTAGCTTCATTGCTTCCCCCACCATTGTTGGAACTATCCAATCCTCACTCCTACTCTCACCGTGACAGCTACTACTACTTGATTACACCGCTTCATCGCCATGGTTATTAGGGGCCTGGGCATTTGCAGAAGCTTATTCTTGGGTTCTTATTTGTTTCTGTATTACTATTATCAGATGTCTCTAGAGGAGAGCCCCAAAACCTGTTGGCCGGTAATGAAGATCTATAAGGAGCAGATCTGCACCTAGTCAATAATGCTTTTTTTGGTGGAGAAGCTGTAGAAGATTAAAGAAAATATTCCTTGGCGTCTCCTCCATTTGCATCGTTATCTTCAATGTCACCAGTACCAATATTGTTGTTGGCAAAATTGACATGATTTTGACCTCTAAATTAGTAGACACCACAACCTTTGAAGAAGAAGAAGAAAAACAACCATCCCTAATTTCAATTTCTTGCAATATCCAAACCTGAAAAACAGTACCAACTTGCAAAAAGGCCTGCAAAATGATCCGGGCTTGTGGAATGGAGTGTTTAAACGGAAACAAGGAAGTGTTTGAACGGAATAGCTAGAGCTGCAGCTTCAAGAAGAGGAAGATGGTTCTTGTTGATCTGGGCTTCTGGTTCGGACTTGGCCTATGCAAGTGACTTTAGGGGAAGATGGTTCTTGTTGAGCATCATTAACGGCCGCTGCAATACTCATTTTGGGTCGCATAATAAACATAGGACCTGAATGTGACCTCCTTTTGCTTCTGCCAAACGTTGCTTCTCAAATCTCATCATCAATGGAGTTGGAAACTTATCTACCCTCCATTAATTCAGCCATTCTTTATAACTGGTTTATAATTTGATACCTTAGCAGGCGCTGTCCTCTTAGGTCTCTGAACATGCAAACAAATCAATGCACCCCTGTGGTGGTTCTACCGTGGTGATGAAGCTTAGATTTAGGTTTTAGAAGAATTAAAAGAGATTAAGGAGTTATGGTCCCTTACATTTTTTGTTAACATTAAAATGATTTGTCATTTTTACCCCTTAAAAATTAGTCACCTGATCTGCCTGCTACTTATTCTGGCCAAGATTTGTGCGAAAAAGTGAAAATGGACCAAAAGTAATCATTTTTTTTCTTGGGGACTAAAATTGCTCATTTTCAATCTGAGAGATTAAATTTTCATATCAACAATATGTAGGGGCAATTAGTGTAATTCTCCCTTATTAAAAATGCTAAATCTATGTGAGCAGAGAGTGTAAGTGAGAGCATCCGAGTTTGAGCCCTCCCACATATACTATTAAAAAGAAAAGGGTGAAACTTCACTCTTTATTTTTTTAATTTATTTTTATAAGAAATTAGAAATGTTCATTAGTAAATTCGACGAAGAAAACTAATGAAAACACAAAACTATTTTATTTTTTTAAGGGATAAATTCTACACTTTGCTTTCATTTTCCCCCCCCCCCCTTCTTTGCTCCTGTTGAAGTTGTAAACAACTACGCAAAGTGTAAAATCTTTTAGAAGTCATGAAAGTATCCTATTTAGTCCTAATACTTTTAAGTTTTTCAGTTAAAGAATGTCCAAACTATATATGTTTTAAAGGTAATTAATAAATTACGAAAACCATGGAATGTGTAAAAAAGGATTTCCTAAGTCTTGTGCTCTAGAAAACCTTAAACCTACCTCCTTAATCCAATATAATTCTATATTTTGGATGAAAAAGGAGATGAGATCAGGAGATCCAATTTATACTCCAAAACATATTTGCAAGCCACAAAATTGTGAAGAGTTCCTCAACTAAAATTGGTGAACAAAGAATACGGTCTATGATTGATTGACATTCTCATGTATTTGTTTTTTAAGCAATGGTTGACGCTCTAAAATTTATAGCTAGTTTGGATGTTTAGGTTAGAAAAGAAAAGATGGGAAATGTTAAGTTATGAAAGAAAAGAAAAGAAGAGAAAGGAAGGGAAGAGATTTTAATGTTGTTTGGGAGTTAATGTAGGAAAATGGATGATTTTGGATATATATATATATATATGTGTGTGTGTGTGTGTGTATGTGTGTGTGTCAATAAAAATTTGTTCAATACACATTTGAAGACAAAATTGGCATTTAGAAAAATTTTATTAGGTATTCTCAGTTTTTCCGATACTTTTCACCCACATTTGGGTGGAAAACTTTGATAACCACAACAGTAGGAGCCCATCCGTCAAAATCATACGCTTTCCTTTTCTACCCCTCAAAAATCCCCATACGCGGGAAAGATTGTCTTTTCCATCACCTTCTTTTCTTTTCTCGTCAAATTACAACTTCCAAACTAGCTATTAAAGTTTTTATCTCAATTCCTCCTTCACTTCTTCCATATATGGGATCCATAATTATATGTATCAAGGTTTCCTAGAGCACTGGTCTACAGCAGAATTTTCATTTTCTTTTAACTGTTAGATATCATAAAATTTTAAATAAAATGAACAAATTTGTTATAAATTCAATAGAATTTTCATATCTGCCTTCAAATTCAAAGCGGACCCAGCGGGCGCTAAATGCGTGATTCATCTTGGCTAGGAACAATTTGGGCCTTCTTCAATTAATACACAACAAATTTACCGGTTAGACCAGTTAGCAGGAACAAATTTGTTCTGTATTCTCTAAAAGAGATGAAAAGAGATGCAGTGCACATTCTTTGCGTTATTGTTAGAGTAAAATGTGCACAGTTTATTATTTAGATTAATTTTTACTGTTAGTCCTGAATGAAAGACAACTATGCAAAATTTTAATTTAAATTTAAATTTTTATATACGTATCATGGATCTAACGGTGATAGTGTATACACTGTCAGTGTATGTAAGGTTTACTTTTATTATTTTGACTATAAATTTAGGATTAACTTTTTGTACACTGATAGTACAGTAATTTTTTTTTACACGAATAGCTATGGTTGTATGGTACACATGCATGATTTGAATTTACATTATACAGCATGATCTAAACTTGCTAGTGTAAAGAAAATTGTACACTAATAGTGTATTAAAAAGTTATCCATAAATTTATAGATTAAATTTTTATACACTGTTAGTGTAGTGATTTTTTTTTTTTACACTAGCAACTATAGATGCATGACACATATGTATGATTTGAATTTTAAATTTGAATTCATATTATGTGTCATGATCTAAACCTGCTAATGTAAAATAAATATTGTATACAGACATTGTACAAAAAGCTTATTTTAAATTTAAAACATGTGCACAATTTGTTATTTTTGTACATTATCTTGTTTATAAAACTTGCAAAATATAGAAAAGATGCTAATTAAAACAACTTGTTTCTTAATTTTTTTTTTTAAAACTAAAGAGCGCCAAGAAATACCAATTGTAATTTGTGAAGAAATTACAGAAACTCTGTTTATTGAGAATTCACACTATTAGGTGGATATTAATACAAACTGGTAATATGTAGCTTAGTTATTTTGACAAAGAATTTTGGAAGAATATTCTATTCTGCAGCTAGAGGCTGTAACTTGAGGGGTTGACGTGACAAAAGTTATTCAACAAGAAAATAATGTGCAAAAGACTGCAATATGATCTTTCCGCCACCGGATGGAAACAGCTGCATAACAGTTCTCATCTTTTCATTCCTTCTCCAAATATTGGTGCCATCTTCACTCCACCGTTTTGTCTCTCCATATTTCCTTCCCAACCTAACAATTTGAAGTTGCCACATAAACCACAAAATAAAATTTAAGAAACTTGATTCTATATAGGTAAATGGGACGGTGCAATTATGATTTTTAGTTTACGCTCCTAGACTTTGTTTAACGTGTAAGATGAGGCCATCAAAAGACAAATTCAACTGGTTAAGTTGAAAGATGAATAAGCTGTTTAAGTTCAAAGGTGCAAATTTACGACTTTTGTAGCACTTGGGAAAAATCTCCCCAGATATATTATATTGTAGACGTTTTCTATTCTGTGCACATAGAGCATATGATAAGCATACTAAAATAAGAGGCAAGCAAATGTACACCAAAAAACTTTGATATTACAACCTCCTCCCCCAGCCCCCCCGGGAATTGTTTTCACCTTTTGTGTTGTGAATTTATATGTTTTCCAAACAAGAATAGATAGGCACCACCTTTTATCCTTGTCCTTAAACAAAGAATAAAAGAACAATATGGTGCTTTTAGAACAGTTTTTACATCTTTTGCAAAATTAAAATACTTTGTCAAACTAAAATATCTTCAAAATGTTTTCTTTTAAGGGCATCTATACGTACTAAAAGAGAGACAAAGAATTTACCAAGAGACATATCAAAGCCACGGTTTCTGAGCTCACGGTATTCTTGACACAAGGCACAGAATTCGCAGCAGAAATGAACAAGACGATCTCCACGAGGGCTTTCAGGCAACATATATTGCTGCCTCATCTTAGAACGATAGAAACTAGAGTAAATGCATCCGCAACCAGGTGCAAGACAAATCAGGCCATAAAACCCTCCACTTGCTGCACAAGCTGCAAACCACCAAAAAAGTAGTACGTAATAATGCATTAATTACTAAGTGTCAAAGGTACTCTTATATATATATATATATATATATATATATATATCGGATATTTATATATTTTTTCTATTAATATATTCACTTACAAGTCGTTCCTTTGTCTACAATTTCTGCAATTTGTCCAAACGTTATGCATGGAAGCCAACAAGTTAAGCAACCTGTAATAAAGTAGAAAAATACGCTATAAGCATGAGAAAAACATGGTATATTTTCTTGGCAAAAGAAAAACAATTGCTGTCTATCAAGTTTTTATTTCTTGTTTCCCCTCTCTTTAGTGAATGGATACTCTGAGATAGATCGAGCAAAGAGTTATTTTACCAATACGAAAACTATATAGGCTCTGAGTACAAATTTTGGCATAATGGTAATTATCTCTTAATACTGGAACTCATCTGGAAATAACATCATGGAGACTGTAAAGTGTGATAGGTAGGTGCTTAATGCAGATATCATAGGTTCGATATTCTAAATAGTTACTAATTCTAATTAAGGTGTTAAATAAATCTCATAAGATTATGATCGTTACCATTTAATATCTAGAAACATGGGAAAATATATAAAAACCAAAAAAGGAAAAAATTGAATATGGTTTCTTACAATTTGGGACATCTGAGAAGCAGTCAAAAAGACCAGTGGACCAGAATCCTGGAGTTTTACTCTCAAACTGTGGTGGTGTTTGATGAGTATTATCACCATAGATGTAGCTTGCGGTATTGAGTGGAATGCCTGTGGCAGGAGGCCGACCAGAGGTGATGGTTTCCGATGGAGCTGAGGGAGCTGAGGGAGAGTGATATGTTTCAAACTCATTTGGATGAGAAGAATACATAATTGAACAATACTACAATTTTTGTACTCAAATAAAGATGATGTATAGAGGAGCGAAGATAAGTAGATCAATGATAGGATGAGGGATAATATTGATTTGATATATATGTCCTTTATTGCAGGCATAGATAGTGTGTACAAAATCTGTAATTAACTAATTATGCATGCAACTATTACACCATGTTTCTCAAACTTGTCTCCTCAGTTTGTTATTCAATTCAGGGGGCTGAACCAATGGAACAAGTAGATTTAGACTTCTTGAATATTCTTAATACAGTTTTTTAATCAATTTCTTGAGCTTCATTTTGACACGCAATGTTTAAGTAACAAAATAATTTGACGCCCTCATGTATGACGAACACTAGGTAGCTTCTTGTGTGGTAAAGGTTGAGAACTGTATACGTTATTTAGTTCTGTGATTCATATTTGATTAGTATTATACGTTCTCTTCCAGATTTGGCGTCCAGTTGAAAAATCCTTGGAGTTGAAATTTGTGAAGAAAGGTGAAAGTCTTTGCTAACCTCTGAAATTTCTTTTGCGGAATAAAAGTACACATGAATTTTGGTCAACCCGGTTCTAGATGTGTAGTAAATCGTTCTCAACAAGTGACTACCCCAGTACCAGTTGAAAAATCCTTGGGAGTTGAAATTTGTGAAGAAAGGTGAAAGTTTTAACTAACCTTTGTGAAATTTCTTTGAGGTATAAAAGTACACCTGAATTTTGGTCAGCCTTTAGATGTGTAGTGAAGTCGTTCCCAACAAGTGACTACGTCAGTAGTTGATATGAATATAATCGGAGTGTTTTGATAAAATTGAAGTTTTAAAATTAAAATTTAAAATCTAAAATCTAAAATTTGAAATTTGAATTCATTAAATTACTGAATTGTTAAGTACTAAATTTGATACGTTTGAATGTTTATTATATTAAATAATAAGTGAATAATTTATCACTTATTTTTGGAAGTAAGTTTTGCTTGAAAAATTCAACGTCACTTAACTAATTTAGATATTTTATTTTTTGTTATCAAACGCATTTGAACATATTAAGATCTAAACTCATTAAATTTAAGTGCTAAATTGAATTATCAAATAGTGCATAAATCTGAAAGATGTAATGTTTTAGTTAATTTTGACTAATAGAGCGCTGAACTTACACAACAAATACAACAAATTTGTCATTTTTTATTTTTTCATTTATCCTTTCACCCCACCTCACATCTTTTCTATCTCCAATTATCACATATAAGATTCGAACCTTAAACTTGATTGCGTGGAAAACTCTAAAAGCCTCATCGGACCAGTTATGATTTTCATCGCTCTACTATGAATGATGTGCGGATTACAATGACAGCTCAAGTAAATTGAATTGGATTTTGAATAAATTTTTTTTTTTCGCACCAACGCATGACAGCGAATTGGACTCCATCAATAGTCTCTTTGAAGACAATGCTAGATGACCATGTTACTTTTTCCATTAGTATTGCTCAATTTTGAGCCTGCCAAATGCCACAAACAGTCGCAGCTTAGTGCCTACGTAGAATTCATCGGACCAAGAAACTGCACCTCTAAAAATGAAAGTCCATTCTGGACTGAAGCCCATATTGCCATAATCCTTTTTAGTCCCTTAACTTTTAATTTCTTCATGTAATTCTTTATCTTTGGATTCATATCCATTAGTCCTTAATCTTAGCAAGTTAAATATACCCTTTTCATTTCCATTTAGATGTAATGATCACTTGGCTCATCACCAAATCCACCGCGTCAATTTCATGAATAATAGACAATCAAGTCATCCATAACAAGAGTTTACTTGACTAAAAGCAAAGATGATGAATCATTAACTCCAAAAAAAATTTTGAAAAAAGGGAACCCCGCGCGTGACAAACACAGGGAGGACAACCATGTTTTTCAAGGAACTCATTTGTGCTTTATACTACATTTCTAAAAGGGTTAAATTACTAAAAAGCCTTTTGTAGTTTACCAAATATTCACCTTAACTTCTTATAGTTTAGAAACCTACATTTTAGTATCTCGTGGTTTTAACTAAATTAAAACTTGAACACAAACCATCTAAACTAATAGTTGCATGTGAAATGTCAGAATTGTCGTTTATAAATAATAGGACTAAATACCATAAAGCCCCTTGTAACTTATTGAACGTCCAACTTGACTCCTTGTGGTTCAAGACCCTACATTTTAGCCTGTGGTGGTAAACAATCTTAATAACTCCTTTAAAAACTGCATTCTTAACTCTCTATAGTTCGAAAACTTACATTTTAACCCATCGTGGTAAACAATCTCAACGAATCCTTTAACAACTTCAAAAACCTACATTCTAGCCCCCTCTTCGTAAACAATCTCAATAAGTTCTTTAACAACTATGTTCTTAACTCTTTATGATTTGAAAGCCTATATTCTAGCCCCTTATTATAAACAATTTTAATGAGTCCTTTAACAACAACATTTTTTTAGCAAGGGAAATGGCTATGGTAGGACTGTTTGAATGGATAAGGATAAGGCTAATGCAATGAATTCAATTTAGTTAAATCCATGAGCTGTTAAAATATAAATTTTCGAACTATAGGGAGTCAAATTGAATATTTGGCAAACCACTGAAGATTTTTGGTATTTAATCCTATTACTTAGAAAGAGCAATTCTAACACTTCCCGTGCAATCATTAGTGTAGACATTTTGTGCCCAAATTTCAATTCAGTTAAAACCACAGGGGGCAAAAATATAGGTTTCCAAACTATAGGAAATTAAGTTGAATGTTTGGTAAACTACAAAGGACTTTTCAGTATTTAATCCTATTATTTATAAAGGACAATTTTGACATTTCACATATAACCATTAGTTTGGATGATTTCTGTTCAAGTTTCAATTTAGTTAAAACCACGAGATATTAAAATGTAGATTTTCTAAATATAGAGAATTAAGTTGAATATTCGACAAACTACACGAGGCTTTTTAGTAATTTAACCCTTTCTAAAAAGCAAAGATGATGAATCGTTAACTCCAAAAAAATTAAACAAAAAGGGAACAATTATTTATTCCACAAATTGTTTTATTCAAAGCTTATAATCCATACGAATGTACAACGATAGAAATGATGCATCCTGGTATAAGCATCTTACTTTTCAATATTCATCATTTTTCCAATCATATTTCTTCTGCAAACCACTGATTGAGAGAACATAAAAACCATCTTGTTTAACGGTCCAAGATTTCGTATCACCGCTGATTGGGGACGGGGGCGCATTAAGAGTATTAAAAAATTGATATTTCCCATTCCAAGCAAAACGACCGTTGATGTAGAGTACATCATCCACTGTTCTGATGGCTTGATAAACACCACCAACTGGGATTGTTTTGTTTCCCCAATCCTCTGAGTTAGCCTGCAAATGAACCCATAGTGGTGGAGAATTTGGTGGGAGTTCGTTCTTTACATCAACATGATAAATTCCAGTCACCAAATTGCATGAAACTGCAAAAATGAATGATAGAAAAAGCAGTGAATATTTTGTGATGTCAGACATCTTGTGATTTTCTTTTTTTTCGACAGAATTCAAGAAATGTCTGTCAAGAGTTACCTGTGCAATTGGACTTAAATAGCTAGTGCTAATGTCTTTGTTGTGTCCACATTTTTTGTATCAATATCTACATTGTATTTTGTTAATTTCCCCATTCATTGCATTAGTTTCGCATCCTTGATTGAAGATTGACTTCCACAAATGGTGTTATTATTTACATCAGTTGTATTAGGTATTCCTATTTTCGAGTAGACTATAAAGTAAATACAGATATTCTGTTCTTGTACAGTTCACACCATTTTATTAATACATCGTTTCTTCTCAATATGTGATTATTATTCTAACAGATAAAGAAAAGGCATAAAAATAGTACATTTTAGAGTTTTCTAACTTTTTCCCGTATGGTTATGATTTTACTGATTGCATGTAAATTTTACTTATTATAGAATGCAATTTTCCTAGCTTTTTTTTTTATTATTGGAAGTTGGTTTAGTCAACATGACCAAGCCTTTTTAAAAAGAAGTGGTATAACCATTTGGATCTGATTACCTGTAATATATTAATGAAAAATAGTTGTTGTACAACAACCTTTTTTGACTCAGAATAACTCATGAAGAAAGTGAATAACATTATAGTTGTTTTACACAAGGAAATTAAGAGATGATCTCTGAGTCATTGCGATTTTAATAAAAATAATTAATTATTTTTATAATATTACTTAATCCCAATAATTATAGATAATGCATATCCTTAAATGGTTTGAGTATTTAATTAATTCTTGTTTCATCCCAAGTCAATGATACAGATTTTTATTAAAAGCAGAAATTTGTTCCAAATTACAAAAAGAATTGAAATTTGACAATGTCGATAAATTTATAGTACAAAATACAACATGTGAAATATATCTTAATGATAGCGCAGTAAAAATTATCAAGTGGGTTAGAAAGACTGTAAAAGTGTGTAAAAGTACTTTATTATGCGAATCTCAAGTGGGTTATAATCTTTAACGGAGAACAAGGGAAATCATAACTCAGAATTCTGTCCAAGTATTTTGCTTGGGAGAGTAATCATGAGCATTGATGAGGTAAAATCTGCCATTATTTACTATATATACATAAATGGAATTTTTTAACGGGTGCCGTAGCACACCAAATATTCACCTAACCTACCATATATATATATCCTCCTTTACATTTGTATATTTTTTCTATTTAATCTTGCCATTATATTTATTTTTTCTCTAATTAATCTTATATTTTCAAAAATATAACACATGAAATATATGTACATAAATAAGTTATACATCGCCCAATAGCATATGTTATGGTTCTTGTTTCTACTACTATTTCTTTCACCATCTCTAAAGAACTTATTATCCTCGTCCTCCTTTTTTTTATTTCTTTTTTCCATTTTCAAGTTAAAACTTTTGAGAAGTGAGAAGGCCACTCCCTAGTGTGTGGACCACGAAACG